TCCACAATAAAAACCTTAAATTAAAAAATAAATAAATAAAAATAAACATAACTGAACAAAAAGATGAAAGACAGTTTGCTATGTCTGCTAGGTGGCTAGAGTCTGTTCCTCAGAGCCTTCGGCCTGTACCGTCTGCAACACTTGGACCCACAGGGCCTCAAATTCCTGCCCGGGTCTGGACGGTCTGCAACAGAAGAGGACTTGAAATACTTACTGAAGAAGATCAAAGGCTTTAGTATAAATGTTGTTGTTGTTGTTGTTGTTGTTAAGTACTGTGCAGTCGGTTCCAACTCATAGTGACCGTGCACAGGGTTTCCGAGGCTGCAAACCTTTACAGGAGCAGAAAGCCTCATCCTTCTCCCACGGAACAGCTGGTAGTTTCGAACTGCCGACCTTGAGGTTAGCAGCCTGATTAGTAACCACTATGCTACCAGATATTGTTGTTGTTAAGTGCCGTTAAGCCGATTCCGACCCATAGCGGCCCTGTATAGGGTTTTCAAGGAGCAGCTGGTGAGCTTGAACCACCGACCTTACGTTCACAGTCTGATGCATTAGCCCACAGCACCACACCAGGACTCCTATAATCAGTATGGATTGCAATTCAATGTAAACAAAACAAAAATCCTCACAACTGAGTCAGCAAATAATATGATCAACAGAAAATATTGCAGTTGTCAAACACTTCATTTTTGCTTGGATCCACAATTAACACTCATAGAAGGAGCAGGCAAGAAATCAAATGATATATTTTATTAGGCAAATCTGCTGCAAAAGATATCTTAAAATGGTTAAAATAGTAAAGATGTCACTTAAGGACTAAGGTGAAATTGTACCCAAGCCATGATGTATTTTCAACAGCTTCATATACATGTGAAAGTTGGACATGAATAAGAAAGACTAGAGAAGAATGGCTACATTTGAATTATGGTGTTCACAAAGACTTTTAAAAGTATTATGGACTGCCAAAAGAACAAACAAAGCTGTCTTGGAAGAAGCCCAGGCAGAAAAGTTCTTAGAAGCAAGTCTTTGGCTCTGCACTTTGGACATGGTATCAGGAAGGAACACTCCTTGGAAAAGGGCATCATACTTTGTCAAGTGACAGGTCAATGAAAAAGAAGGAGACGCTCAACAAGATGGATTGGCACAGTAACAGTAACAACAGGATCAAACATAGCAGCAGTTGTGAGGATGGCACAGGACCAGGCAGTGTTTCATTCTATTGTGCATAGGGTCACTCTGAGTAGGAACCAATTAAATGGCACCTAACAACAACAAAGTGTACTGTAATATACCCATCCTCTCCCTCTGAGTAGAACCAGACAAACTGACATTGCGTGTCAGGTCTGGAGAACATACATATGAATCAATCTGATCCCTCTCCTCACAGGTAATAGACAGCTATCATATGACTTCTTAGTTCTGTGATGGAGGGATAAACAGACAGTTGTCTTATAACTATTTAAGCTCTATGACAGAGGAATAGACAAATAATTGGAATATAGACGTTTAAGGTCCATGATAAAAGGAAGCCTAGAGACTGTGAGGAAGGATCCATGGTGGTTCAGTGGTTTCACTCTCAATGGCTAACTGAAAGGTCTATGGTTCAAAACCACCAGTCACTCCACCAGAGAAAGTTGTGGCAGGCTGCTTCTGAAAAGATTATAACCTTGGTAACCCCATGCTGTTGTTGTTCTTGTTAAGTGCTGTTGAATCTATTCTAATTCATAGAGACCCTGTATGGGGTTTCTGAAGAGCGGTTGGTAAGTTTGAACTAATGACTTTTCAGTTAGCATTCCAGTGCTTATCCTACATCACCACACCAAGACCCCTATGGGACAGTTCTATTCTGTTCAATTGGGTCAGTGAGTTGGAATTGACTTGACAGCAACAAAATTATTTTTAGACACAGTGAGAGCCTAGGGAAGTCTCTTGATCAAGTTTGACAGCTGAGTTTTTCAGAGGTGACAATAACTCTAATCCCCCCAGATACCAAAATCAAGAGATTCTGAAGGATTCAAAGATATTCCAGGATCTCCAGAGATAGAAGGTCACAAGTTGGTCTAAAACCAGTGGCGTTTCAATATATACAAAGGAATCACTTTTAGTGTTGTCATAAAAGGTGGGTACAAAAAGCAAAGATTGCTGTATATTAAATGGTTATGTGCTGTGGAGTCAGTTCTGTATTTTGAGTACCATTCCCTAACTTGAAATAAGCATATCACATTTTACTAGTTTTATTATTTACAATCATCACCAACTTTTATTCGTCATTTTTTTTTCTTTTTCATGAAGTTTCACATCAATTATTATACTTAATCTCTACAACCATTTTACAGGGTACAGATTATGTTTCTGCCTTACAATGCTTAAAGTTTCCAAAATTACTGAGGTACAGTAGGTTAAGTAAGTGGTCCAAAAATCAATGCTAGTGGGGTCCTAACAGATCCTGTCTAATTCCAGCATCACCATGTCTCTTTTCCTCATGTAAATATCGACCAGAAATAATAGAACATATTGGTAAGGTTAGATTTTCTTTGGATTTCATTTACAAAATCAGATCCTAGGTAATATATAGTAGCTTTTTCTGAAGCTTTGTGTAAGCAATTTATTTAGAGATAAAATGTTGTTTTAATCTGTTAGTTATAATAAATCAGGACTGTTATATGTGGCCACACAACCGATGACTTACACACTTCTGGGCAGCACCACACACACAGTGATGTGAATGATGCTTCCTAAAATTATTTAATGAGGCACAAGTGGAAATGATAATTGCTTGTATTTCACAACACGTCATAGTTTACAAAGGACCGTCACAAAATTAATTTTCAAAAAATTACTGCTGTTGTGTTTTCTCACTAACAGAAGGGAAATGCGGTCCAGAAAGAATATTAAGCAATACTGCTCTACGATATTTCCAAGGTTTGAACCTTGTAAGCCCTATTTCAGTAGTCTTTCCTCTGCCTCAAATGAATCTAAAGCATTTACAAGTAATTCTTCTGTGCAAATTTTTCTTTGCCCTATCAGATTCTAACAGCTAGAAGTTAAGATATTATTCAACATATAGATGTGGATACCAGCATTCTCAGATAAATGCACACCACACACCAGCTTATAGATGCAACATAAACACAACAGATACACAATCAGACACATCACTCATTAAATATATGCATACCAAGATACAGCTACCACACACTCACCAAGACATAGCTGGTACTCACTCCATGCATATATGCACACTGCAAATACATATACTCACATAAACAAACTTAGACATTCATAACCACACCCAGAATATTCAGCACCCTCATAGATAAACAGCTTCTAGTAGCATCACATACATTTGTAGATTCCATATAAATGTAAATAGATACACATACAGAAATTTAAATACTTCATGGGAACTTTCTTTTTCTGGTCAACTCTTCCTTTTCTCCCTCCAATTATGATTAACCAAATACCTTTATTAACCCCTAATTATGACTGTTTAATCACCTGAGATCTAAACAAGAAACTTCATATAGCTAACCTCTGTCACCCAAAACAGATTCATTGACATGGATACATAGATACAAGAAAAACTAATACCATACATCTAGACTGGTACAGATCATAAGCCTTCTCTTCTATACACAAAGAAAAGGCTATTTGTAGTTTCTCATTATAAAAAAGGGAGAGGGTAAGGCCTCCATTACAGAGATACATCCAGACACCATATGCAGATATTTCTCCAGGATGGAATGTCCAAACTGCTCTGTATTAACACAGAATGGTGGTGACAGGAATCCAAGATCTATTTTGATAACTGGAAGCACACAGCCCAGTGGGTAGATGCTGTAATCACTAAGACATGCCTCATGATCTTAATCTTTCCATCTTTGATAGTGATTAGGCATACCTAGTAGTTTATCCTTTTCACCTACCATCTTTTGAGAACATATGGAACACCCGTGAACGGATCTCCTTGGTCTTGGCTCCATAGACAATGGGGTTGACAACAGGTGGTAACAATAGGTAAACATTAGCCATAACTACATGGAGCAGGGAGGTGGGGCCTCCCAGTCTGTGAACCACAGAGAGTCCAATGAGGGGCACATAGAAGACCAAGACAGCACAGAGATGAGAGATGCAAGTGTTGAAAGCTTTGAGTGCTGCTCCCCGAGAAGACAGTGCCAAAACAGCCCTAAGGATGAGGATGTAGGAAAAACCAATGAGGAGGGAGTCCACGCCCATTACTGAGAGGATAATGAACAATCCATAAACTACATTGACTGTAGTGTCTGTACAGGACAGCTTCATAATATCTTGGTGAAGACAGAAGGAGTGTGTGACGGTATGTTTTCGGCAGTATGACAACCGCTTCAAGATAAAGGGCAGGGGAAAGAAGAAGACAAATCCCCTGGTCAGGGCTGCCAACCCAATCTTGGCCACAGTGGGCCCTGTGAGCACAGAAGCATGGCGTAGAGGATAGCAGATGGCCACAAACCGGTCAAATGCCATAGCCAACAGGACAGCTGACTCCATGGCTGACAGAGCATGGATAAGAAACATCTGAACTAGACAAATGTTGAACTCAATCTCCTGGAGGCCCGTCAGGAAAAGGCTAGCCATCTTGGGCATGGTGACGGAGGACAGGACTAGGTCAATGGAGGAAAGCATGGCCAGGAAGAGATACATGGGCTCATGCAGGCGCCTTTCCACACGGATGATGAGGACGATGGCCAGGTTTCCCAGGGTGGCCAATGCATACATAAAACACAGAGGGAACGCCAGCCAAAAGTGTACGTTAGGCCCTAGGCCAGGGATGCCCACCAGAAGGAAGTAGTCTGGGTGGATCAGAGTTGCATTCGGAATGACCGCGAGAGGGATCAAAAGCTGGGGCTTCTGCATCCCAAATCCAGTGTCTATGAAAGGGTAAAGGAAAAACATTATTCAGTCATGACTGAGAGGAGAGAGAGAACCTATAAAGAAAGGCATTGGAGTAGTGATGTTACAAAACAGAAGACTGGATACTTCTGGTAATTCTGAACCTCAGACTCTCCATGCTCTGAAGCTCCTTACACACACCTTTCTTGACACCCTGCTCTTTGTCCCACCTGCCAAGCTCCAGTGCTGCTTGAACAAATTTTAACACTGTCCCATAGATCTCAGTATGTGAGAACTGACAAGAAGAACATGAACAATAGTCCTTCATTTTCAGAGCTGATGTAGCTGTCCAGGGATGCTGTTCAGAGCCATTTCGGCAACAGAGTAGCTAGGCTGGCATAGAACTGTCACACTGACCCAGCTCTCCTGGTACATGTTGAAGTTAGATTTGGTTGGGGTCCAGAGCTAGAGATTCATTCTGTGGTTGCCGTTAAGATCTGCCTGTAAGCCGACTTGGGGACTGTGATGACTCTTTAGGATAAGAACTGGGTTACGAGTCATAATGTCTGTGGTTTGAGTTCACCCACTTCTCTGTGAGAGAAAAATAAAGCTTTCTACCCCCACAAAGATTTATAGCCTTAGAAACACTATACAGGGTTGCTATGAAACAGAACCAAGCTGGACAGCACTTAACAACAACAGAACATGTTTAAAGTCAAATTTAAAATAATGTCTCAGTCTGGGATTGGGTTTCAAGAGGCAGATATTCATTTAGTCACGAACAGTAGTTCTTAAACTTCCCTGATAGAATTATCTGGGACAGTTGTTGAAAACACCATCTCCTTGGTTCTAATCTGGGCCCAAATCATCAGAAATCCCAAGAGAAGGAAACTGGAAATCTTTTTGAAAAAAACAACACTTCCTTACTTCCAAAGTTTGTTTTTTTTTCATCTGAAATTTTTGGAAAAGTAGTTCTGGTGTTCTGGGGGGTCTGGAAACTATAACTTTCAGTCCCTAATAAATCCTGGTTTGAAACTGTAGGGTAAGCACTGGACTGCTAACCACAAGGTCAGCAGTTCAGATGCACCAGCCACTTTTGGAAACCTTATACAGGGTCGATATGAGTCAGAACAGACTCGACATCACTGAACAACATCAACAACAATAAACTATAAGACAGAATCTGCCAGCAGAGTCTCTGAAGGCCCACGTAAGAGTCAACTTCAGTTTATGCTTTGGTGTGGCACAGAAACCAGATGCAGCTGAGACATGGATACAAAATCAGCCTAGGCCACTGCAATAGAGTACTGGGCATCTGGAGACACCCATCCCATCCTGCACCTTCAGTTCTGAGGAGATCACTCAATACCAGGGCTCACTACCTTTCTCTACACAGACCACTCTGCTCTAAATCTCTTTGCAGAGATCCAGACCCATAAAACTTACTGCCTTCTTGATATTCCTACCTGGAGAGGCTTATAGGCCCACAATCATCTTGCCCCAAATAGAACCAATTCTAAACCTAGGCCTCTACCCTATTCAGATCTCAGTGAATTTGTATCACCCAAGTCATTCAAATCAGGGCAGGTAGTTCAATCTTGATTACTCTGCCATTTTATCCCCATACGTTATTTAGCTTTTCCAACTAATGGATTATAGAGTCTTCTCTTACTTGACAATCCCTCCATTGTTTCCAGCCTTATTCTGTCATCCCATCTCCCCTAATCATTCAAAAGAACCACCTAATTAACCTCCCTGCCACCAAACCCAGTCTACCCCAATCTATCCTGCCATTTACACTGGGAAACTGATTAGACAGTTACAGGTGATTCCCATAACTTTCAGGATTGAGTCAGAAGTCCACAGTCTGGCAGTCAGGACTCTTCACAATGTGGCCCCAACCTAACTTTCTAGCGTTCCAATTTCCTTCTTCCTTACCTATTTCCACCACCAACACACACATGCATACACATACATTTATTCTTCCCTGGGTAAATTCGTCCCCCTTGCCTTGTTTCCTCAATGAAATGTAAGAGGCTGGAACCAGCGACTCCTGTCCTGGGAGAAGGGATAGGATAAGTTTGAAATGGGCCTCAAACGGTTTTGAAGAAATTCCTTTTAGAGTAGGTTAGTAAACAAGGTCTGAAATCTGGGTAACTGTAATCTGTTTCTCCTACCATTCTGCTGTCTAAGTAAAGGCCATCTTTCTTATGCAATGTGCCCTTCCTTCCTGGTCTCTGCAGACATCCCCAGTGAGGGGTCAAGCTATCCCTCGCCGCCTCTGTTTTCTAAACTGAACCTGCTGCACTCACCACCAGTGCCTCAGCTCTAGGCCACCTCCCATATACAGCCTCTCTGGGGCCCTCGGGAGTGAACAATGCTGGGCTTCCTGGGGGCCTTGAGGAAAGCTGAGCCCTACCGCCTACCCAAAGGAGCTGAGCTTGATTACTATTCTGAGCCAGCTCAGGAGACCAGAGAGAGGGCAAGTGCTGGGGGGTGAAGAGGGTAAGAGGAATGGCGGGAGCTGGGAAACACAGCAAGCAAGCACACAAGTTTAAAATGCACATCCCAACAGCAACACCATTGCAAACCGGTGTTCAGGAGCTGCCTTTAGTTTATTAATGCTGCCTCTTGAGGTCATGTGAGGAATTGCAGCCTCATAATCGGCCTAGTTTCTCTGCTATTCATAAGGTTTTCAGTGACTAAATATTCAGAAGTAGTTCGTCGCTCCTTCTTCCTAATCTGTCTTCATCTGGAAGCTCATCAGAAACCTGTCCACCATGGGTGACACTGCTGGTATTAAAATACCGGGGGCATAGCTTTCAGAATAAGGTGTGGCTGACCCAAGCCATGGTATTTTCAATAACTTAATATGCATGCAAAAGCTGGAGAGTGAATAAGGAAGACCATAGAATAATTGATGCTTTTCAGTTATGGTGTTGGAGGAGAGTATTGAAAGTGCCATGGGCTACCAAAAGAACCAATAGATCCATTTTGGAAGAAGTACAGCCAGAGTGCCCCTTGGAGGCCAAGATGGCCAAACTTCATTTCTCATACTTCAGACATATTGTCAGAAAGGACCAGTCGCTGGAGAAGGATATCATGTTTGATAAGGTGGAGGGTCAGAGAAAAAGAGGAAGACCCCCAACGAGATGAATTGGCCAAGTGGCAACATTGATGGACTCAAGCGTGGCAATAGTAGTGAGGTTGGCCCAAGATCAGGCTTTGTTTCGTTCTGCTGTGCATAAGGTCTCTATGAGTTGGTACTCGATGGCACCTAACAACAACAACAATCAGCCTAGAGCAATTTGTTAAATGCCTTCCAGTCCATTCCTGTATTGGTTTTCCAAAGAGAGGTTTGTGAGCTTGAACCGCTGAACTTAAAGTTCAAATTTACATTGCAGTCCTGCGCATTAACCCACAGCGCCATACCAGGACTTCAATGGTGGCCTATAGGGCCAAGAATTCTTGAATCTGAGTTCCTCCTACTGCATTATGTTGCCCCTTAACTCTTCCTCCCTCCCATCCTCATATGTCAAACTTTTCTTCACATGTAAACATAGCTCTCCTGTACCTCCAAAATTAATACAGTGATAGAGTGATGCAGGGCTCTAGCAGGAAACAGACTGGAGTTCAACTACCAGACCAACCACTTACTAAAGCTATGACTACACTAAGCCTAAGTTTGGAGTCCTGGTGTGTTACTGTGGGTTAATGCACCAGACTGCAAAGCCGTTTGAACTGCAAGGTCGGCAGTTCAAGTTCACTAGCTACTCCTAAGAAACCCTATACAGGGTCGCTATGGGTTGGAACCGACTCGACGGCACTTCACAACAACAACCACAACAAGCCTCAGTTTGAAGTCATGGTGTGGCACTGTAGGATAAGCACTGGACTTCTAGCCACAGGGTCAGCTGTTCAAAATCACCATCCACTCAGAACCGATTCTATGGCACTTAACAACAAGCCTCAGTTTAATGTGAAAAATAAAAATAAGTGACTAGCAATTTTCCCGTGAATTTTTGTGTTTATTATTACAAGTCAAAACATCCGGAAGATCCCATTGAAGTAGGAGAAAAATTCAGCTGAGTCACTGCTAACAGAGGAAGAAGTCTGTTAGGAGGAAGAATGGACAGCAGTACAGAAAGCTCTTGAGAGGTCAAGGAGTACGTTGTTGTTGTTATCGAGTTGGTTCCCACTCATAGTGACCCTATGTAAGGTTTCTGAGGAGCAGATGGTGGGTTTGAAGTGCCAACCTTGCAGTTAGCTGTCCAGTGCTTATCCTAAAGCACCATGCCAGGACTTCCAATAAGTGTAATGACTGGAAATAAAAAGTCGCTGGTTTCCCTTGGAAGTTAGAGTGAAGAGTGAGTGAGTTGGGAAGAAATGGGCTAAGTGAATGTAGACAGCTTTGTGTGCATGTGCAGAGAAGTAGAAAGATGGGCATTACTTGAAGAATTGATAACTCCAGGGAGAGTTTGTTAAATGTGAAATTTGAAGCTAGATAAGTTTGAACACAATTAAATGCTGGCAGGATGAAATCAATAAACTCCGTGTCTTTTACTTATCACATTACTGGTGGAGTTTTTCAAGGGAGGGCCGCTGTCCTTCCCCATCTATACAGTATCCATGAGCAATCTTAACTACTTCTACAGCTTCCATGAAGTAAGCCAGGCCAGACCAGTTTCCTGAGCTCCAGACATGTAAATGTCTATTGGCTATCCCTCAAACTCATTGCAATCATCCCTGACTTCTCCCTCTTTTCTAATTTCCCTCCCCTACCTTACCCAGTCAGTTACCAAGTCCTCTTTATTTTATTTCCCAGATATTTTTTGAGTTGTACAATTTTTCTCTATCTCTTTATCTTAAATCAAACTCTAATCTAAACCAATGTATTCTCTTGCTAGATCATCAGAATAACTTGTTCATTGCTTAATCTCACTGAAGATCTTTCCTACTAATCCACTGTCTACACTCTAACCAGCATGATCTTCCAAACACACAAATTAATTCACAGTACCTCC